AAATCAAATTCAATAATAATAATAATAAAAAAGGTTCAATAGGTTTTGTTATAAGTATAATTACTAATAATTAACTTACCGATCAATATTATTAAAGAAAAAGAAAAGCCCTAATTATATAATTATATTTCATATGAATTAAAATCCCAAAACTCATACTAGCTTAAAGATAACCAATTTACACCCAAAATAAATTCAAATTCAAATTCCAATTTACAATTTACAATTTGAAAAATAAGAAAAATAAATTGGATTATTTCTTCTAGTTAGAAATTATACCGCAAATCTTGATTGGAGCTTCAAGCTCAAGAAGATTAGGTTGACTGAGAAAAATCTCTTTAGAAGCAACACAAAGCTGTCGAATCTCAGACTCAGGAAGATGAACCTGTTTCACAGTTCTTCCATTCTTAGCATCAAGTAACCGCCGTATGATTTCATCAAGTACCCCAACATCCATTTTCAACCGTTAAAGTTTCAATCTTTCTGATCAAGAAATCAACCCTTACAGTAAACCCACGTAGCAGAGGATTCTGGGTGTTAGCTCTTACAAAAACGGGGTCGTTTTAATGGTGAGTGGCCGCCATTAACAACCCGGAAGAACCTTTGCTCTGTTTCTATGTGACCGTTGATGGGGTTTTGGAGGTGAGAAGAAGAATGAAGAAAACCCAAAATATGTGATGTCCTAAATTAGGTTTTTATTGAAAACCCTATCGGTAAAATAATGTTTTTGTTATTTTATCAAGTCAAACCTTTGTCATGTGGCCGTAGTATAAGAGGGATATTAAAATATCATATTCAAGATATTTTTCTTGCCTTGATTATGAATTTTTTTACCCTTTAATTAAGCAAAATTTGGTGGTAATTACATTATTATTACATTATTAAGATTAAGACATCTAGAATAATTAGAAGGGTTAAGATAAGACACAATATGTGTTGCTTCATTAGTTTTACTTTCTAAAAAACAAGATAAAAAAAAGCAACATCAAACCATGTCGCTCTTTTAAGTTTTTCATTACTTGCAAATAATCATTGTGAATAATGAATTTCATCCCATTGCAAAGAAGCGCCATTTGTAGCCTATGAACAATTGTTTTTCCCTCAATGATACATACCACATCTAGTCAATCCGTTGCCATGACGTTCTTGAAATATGACCTTTAGAATTACGTATGATATTCTTACCAACTCCATCTAACCAAACGTTGTGTTACCATTTGCTAGCCCAAAAGTTTAACATAATTAGTAGGAATCGATGCAAATGGTGAGTTTAAAGTTTGGCCTACAAAGTAACAAGTAGACGAGGGAATAAGAGATTCGTGGAATAAGGGGTAACCTGGTTTGCTTCCACAGTCCAAGATGCGGGTTCTTGCTTTTATTGTTGCACAATTTCTTTAATTTGTTTGAGTTAAGACTTTAATTGAAACTTAACCTATCACTTAGATCGTGTATTGGCAAAGTTAGAATTTAATTTTAATAAAAATTAATATGCATTTGTTGCTTTTGAAATTTTTTGTACAAGTTATAAGACTTTCCGACCAATGAATTTATTATATTTTTCAATAAATATAAAGAATTTTCTTGTTGTCTTTTATTGAAATTTATTCATAGTGATGGTTGTGTAGGAGGTGACTGGGGCGAAAAGGGGTGATTGAGGAATGTTGTGATGATTGGCCCACTGCTGACTAAGGATTGTCATGTTAGGGTTGGCTTTGGAGGCAACTGAGGTTGCACTCTATGGTTAAGAGAATATGGTTGAGAGTGATGGCCAGGGCGGGATCTTTGTTTGGGTGGGCAAGGACCCGACCCCCCTTAAGTATTTTTGAGTTGTTGATTATAAGTAATATAATGTCTAATGATTGCATATAAAAAGTTATGGTATAGTGGTTAATTATTGTTATTTTTGAATAAAAGGTAAGGGGATCAAACCTTGCCCCCCATAGTTTTTTGGCCCAAGATTTGCCACTGGTGATGGCAATACATTGACTTGAAAAAGAGTTGGAGAAGTATGTCGGTAGTATAGTATTTAGAGATGTGTGAAACTTTCTCCCTCAAATTTTCTTAATTAACATACTAATCATAATTCATCTCATGTCACATACTCAACCTCTCATTGTGCCACGTCATTCAACATTGTTAATGAGATTTGAACAACTTTTAATTCAAAAACTAAGTGCTTTGCCACCAAGCTATATCATACTTTTTGTTATCTTTTGAATACAAAATATTACTTCCTCCGTTTATTTTTTAGTAAACACCGTTTGGCTTTTACACTATTCACAAATTACACTTTGACTAGCTTTTGTGATTTATAGCTACGATAAAATATAATCAAGTGAGATCTTGTATGAATTGCCTCAATGTATATATTTTATTAATATCCATTTTTTATAATTTTACAACGTCGATAATTAGAGATATTAATCGTTAAAAAAGTGCGTTGGCAAGCATAATAATAGAATAGTGTCAACTAAATAAAAACGGAGGTAGTAATATGTAGTGAATGATAATATGAATATTAAACTAAATTATATATATAAAAAAAAGGATCCTAAATTAAAATGTATTCTAATAGTCAACATATGTAATGACTCGGGGTATTGCGGCCTTGGCCCAAACATTAGTGATACATTAAAAGTACATTCTAAGAAAGGAATTACCAACCTTTTTGTTTTTTTTACTTTTGACATCATTTTCTAACACTTTATCTTCTTTTCAATAATTACCAACTACCTTTTCTTTCTCTAACCCCACATGCACATTTGTACTTGTCAGTCATGGGTTTTAAGGAATCTTTAAATTTCTTAAATCCCGTGAAAAATGGAAAATAAGCTTGTAGATAACGATCGGAGGAAGTAATTGAATATGAGCTTTTCTTTAAGTAATGTGAAATGCTTAAGAGTAGTTAGTTGATTTATTAATTCGATGATTACAATCTATCTCACAACTACCAAAACTATAATCAATTGGCCAACTAATAATTAACAAAATTATTAATTATGTACCACTTTTTTTTTTTTCTTTATTTAGGAAAAGTTATGTACTCACTTAAACTTTAATACTACTATCAAAATAAAAAATTAGTAGAAGTATGTGTTATTTATTTATTTAATTTTTTTTGGAGATATACACAACTTGCAAGTTGCAACCCACCTCTTCATCACCCTATGAGTAATCACAATTTTTTTTTATTGAATAATACAAGTAATCACCTACGGAGTAACAACTAGCCAATAAACTACACTAAGAAATCCTCAAAGCTCGCATGCCTGGCTAGTTTTGGTGGGTTTAGGCACATAATTTTCGGCTTGAAGCTTGGTCCAATTTGAGAAATGGGCTGATTTTTTCAATCTCGGCCCGACCCGCTCAATGATCACCTCTAGCTTTGGGGGCACCTGAGGTTGCACTCTATGGTTGGGAGAATATGGTTGAGAATGATGGTGATACATTGACTTGAAAAAGAGTTGGAGAGGTATGTCGGTAGAAGTAGTATTTAGAGATGGGTGAAACTTTCGCCCTCAATTTTTCTTAATCAACATACTAATCATGATTCATCTATATACTAATCACGTAGACCCTTTTAATTACGCTATGTCACCTACTCAACCTCTCATTGTGCCACATCATCCGACATTCTCTTTAATTATGCCACATTACTTATTCAAACTCTCTATATGAAGGATGATTGTTTAATCATCTAATAAGCTATTTGTCAACAATGTAATAAATATGAAAATGAATGTATATAATTGCAAATCGCAAGGTCTAATCAAAATAAAAAGTAAGAAAAAACACCATAAATATTTGAACATGCAACTTTTAATTCTAAAACTAAGTGCCTTGCCACCAAGCTATATCATACTTTTTGTAATATTTTGAAATATGTAGTGAATGACAATATGAATATTAAATTAAATTATTAAAAAAATAGGTTCTAAATTAAAATGTATTATAATAATCAATCATATGTAATGACCCGATGTATTGCGTGGGCTTAAACACTAGTGATAAATTAAAAGTACATTCTAAGAAAGGAATTACTCCTTCCGACTTTTGTTAAGAACCTGTATTATATTCCATTTTGGGGTAACTAAAATTAAAAGTCTATTTCTATTTATAGGTTGTACTTTTTGACAATATTATTCTCCTTTTGATGACTTGTTATCCTTTCTCTTTTTCTTTGTTGTACTTTTGACATCAGTTCTTAATATTTTCTCAGTCCTTCTTATCAATTATACGTAACTACGGAGTACTTTTTTTTTTCTATCTACTTCTCTCTAACCCCACATGCATATTTGTACTCCCAATCATTAGTTGTAAGGAATCTACAACTTTCTTAATTTCTGTCAAAAAACTCAAATAAGCTCTTAATTAAAGGATGGAGGGAGTAGGAAAAAAAATTTGAATATGAGTTTTTCATTAAGTAATGTGAAATGCTTAACAGTATTAGCTAATTTATTCATTCGATGATTATAATCTATCTCACAACTACCAAAACTTTAATCAATTGGCCTACTAATAGAGGTGATAAAAAATCGGGTCGGGCCGGGCCTTGACATAATTCCTCATGCCCAAACCTGCAAAAAGTTGCGGGTTTGTCGGGCTTTTTTCGGGCCGGGTTAGGGTATTTTAACTAAAAATGCGTTTTTTAGGCTCGCCTAAACCCGCCCTATTTTCGGGCTGGATCGGGCCGGGTTAGCAGGCCGGACCAATGTTAATCACCTCTACCTATTAATGATTAACAAAATTATTAATTATGTACTCACTTTTTTTTTTTTTTTATTTTTTTTTTTAAGGAAATATTATGTACTCACTAATACTATCAAAATAAAAAATTAGTAGAAGTATGTATTATCTATTTATTTTTTTAATGTTTTTCGGAGATATACACACTTGCAAATTACAACCCACTTTTTCATCACCCTAGTAAAGTACGAGTAATAACATACGGAGTATCAACTAGGCAATAAACAACACTATAATCCTACCAAAAAGCCTAAAATACACTCTCTCTTTCACAAGGGCATTTAAGTAATTCCACATCCCAATCTATCCATTCATTTGACTAGCTCAGCCAAACACGAGTCACATCCCAATTGGCCAATCCACAAACCCTACTAATCAACTTTATACCAACAAAATCCCCAAAAAACCCCTACAAACTCAATTAATTCCCCTTCATGTCCCCACAACTTGCCACGTAAACAAGGGCAAAACCGTCATTTCACCCTAAACCTCACCGGAAAATTCCCCTCCGATAATCCAAAGTCACCCTCATTTCTCCCTTTTCCCGAAAACTATAAATACTTATCTTTCTACCCCCCTCCTTTTCTTGCCCTAGACGCCTCCATTTTCGCCTCTCCTCCGCCGCAACCCCTTTCTCTCTCTAAATCGTTCTCCGAGCTTCCATTTTCTCTCTCCTAGGGTTTTTGTTCTTCGTCGATTCATCGATTTCGCCGATCCGAGGTGTTCCAGCTTTGTAATTAGGTTTTTTTTTTGAGTTTGAAATTGAATTTATTGGTGGTGGTTTGGTTTGAGTGGAAGAGTGAGTGATGATGATGACGTGGCGGTGATGGAAGCTGTTGAACTGGCGATTCCGGTGGATGTTTCGAAGCCGAAATTGATGGGTTCAGACGTTTTTGTTGGAGCTAGGGTTTGTTCTACTGATGGAGAAGCTCGTGATTCCGACACCGTTTCGCCTTTTCGTGGTCCGAAAATTGATGAATGCAATACCTCTTTACATAATCATAGAGGTGAATTTTTTGATTTTAATGTTGTTTTTTATTAGTGTTTTGATTGATTTGTTGCGTGTTTCAGCTCAGTATTGAACTATTGATTGATTGGATATTGGGTTGATTGGAGATTTTTAATTAGAGGCTACTTTACTAATCTGGTACTTTTATTGGATAGGAAATAATTATCTTATCTTGTGTTGTCTTTGTTCTGGATCAAGAATATAGAAATGTCCAGTAGTTATTATTGACTTGAGGTATCTCACCTGGTAATCGAGAGAGCCTATTTTAAGCTCGGACTAATCGGATTTGAGCTGGGTCGGCCTCGAGAGCTAACCATAGCAAAGTCTGGTCCTTTACATTCTCCTAAAAGACTCTTGGATATTCTTGTAGCAACCAGAGAAGAAAATTTTGTTGTTAATATTTATAATTTTCAGTATGGTTGAAATCGTTTGATATTGTCTTGAGTATTAGATTACTTTTGTATTGGTATATCGTGTGTGATTGTGTGATAAGATGCTTTTCTGTCTTAATGTAAGTATTTGGCTATGTTTCAGATCCCTGAACATTTGTTATTGTGAGTGGTGTTGTTCTTTTGTCTTCCCATGGTTTGATTGTCGCAATTGTAGAATCATTGCTAGCAATGAGCGTTGTTAAGATGCCTTTCTGTCTTAATGTGAGTATTTGGCTATGTTTCAGATCCACTGAACATGTATTATTGTTAGACTTGGCAATCATGTCGTGTCGTGTTCATTTTCGTGTCGGAAATTAAACGGGTTGGGGAAGGTCAACACTAACCCGACCCATTTAATAAATGTGTCGTGTCGTGTCGTGTCGTGTTGACCCAATTAATTAATCGTGTCGAAAACCCTTAACACTAACCCGCTTTTTTCGTGTTCGATTCGTGTCGTTTTGTTGTGTTGAATTGAAAAATATTGGTCTTATTCAATATATTTATCAATAATTCCATAAATTATTTGATTTTTATGTTAGGCGGGTTAATTTCGTGTCGTGTTGAGAATCTCAACACTAACCCAACCTGTTTGATTAAACGTGTCGTGTCGTGTTGTGTCGACCCGTTTAATTAATTGTGTTGAAAACCCTTGACACTAACCCCTTTTTTTCGTGTTCGGTTTGTGTCGTGTTGTCGTGTCGTGTCAATTTTTGCCGGCTCTAATTATTGTGAGTGGTGTTGGTCTTTTGTCTTCCCACGGTTTGATTGTCGCAATTGTAGAATCATTTCAAGCAATAGGCGTTTGTCAGTTTAAGTGTCTGATTAATATTGCTTGCTGTGTTGCAACTCTCTGTAGCTCTTAAAATTGTTAATGGCTAGTAAATGATGTCATGCACAAACTATGGTATATGAAGCTGTCTTATTGGAGGATATGCATCAGTATTTGGATACCGGAGAAATCATATTTGTAGCCATCGTGTGAAATTCTACGTGCCTGATGTAGACCATGCAGTGTATGCTGGTAGTTCCTTTTCATTTTCTTTGCGTCCATCTCCTATCGTTCTGACTTCCTGAATAAAAAGGTCACATTGGTGTTAAAGCTTTTGGACTCTGATGGTCTCTTGTGCCGTGAGTTACTTCTATCTGCTATGATTTCAAGTGCCCTTTGTTTGTTGATGGATTTGTTCTGTGTTTAAGCAATTAAATTCTCAATTATTTATCTTTATGCAACTTAAATTGTAACTTAATATAAAGATTTTGGTCATGTGTAAGCTTTTTACTGGTTTTGGTTTGTAGTAGGGCCTACATGGATAGAACTCTTTAAGGACAATGAGGCTTTCTTAAATCATATAACTCTTGCTAAATTCTGGTTCGTGATAGGTTAAAAAAATAAAAATAAAATATGCAATCATTTTAACCAACATATTTTGGTGTTAATGTCATACAGTATCAAGATAAATTGCTTCGTCTTCAAGTTGAATATGGAACATTGTTGTTACGTATAGGGGAGCAAATATCTGTAGAATATTGATAATTAAAGTTTTAATTTGCTTTGGATCCTCTAATGCTTTCCAAAATTGATCAGGTACTTCCACTGCTTCTGGGCCACCTCCCTGGTTGAAGAAATCAGATGCAGCATTATGCAGGAACAATTTTCTTCCATCTAGATCAACTACAGAAGATGTATCCTTGGGGTTGGTTGACGGGATTTCAAGTGGTTCTACCATCTTGATGTCAGAATATGAAGGAAAACAGATTCAAAGGAAGGTGGGAAAGGTTCCAAGAAATGGAAGTGGCTTGTTTAAGAAACCCCGAATGTTGCAATCGGACAGTTTTTCATCTCATGCAGAGGCCGACGAAGTGAAGACAGAATCAGATAAGCTTGGCTCGCACCTAGTGAAATGCTCCAATGCAGGTAATGTGCTGGGTGTGAAAAACCATATTGTTCCTGGCATTGCTATCTGACAAGGAAGATAATGTTTTGCTTCTGATAGCATTTATCACTGTTCAGCCTGATGCTTATTCATCATTATTCTTCTTTCCAGTCCTGAACTCCGATTGGCTTCTGATAATATAGTTTACTGGTTTTGCAAGAAATTGTTTATATATAGCTCATTTAATCTATCTGATTATTACTTGGTATGTCATAGTCTTGAAACCATGTATGTCACATCCTGATGTTGCTTCCCAATCAAGCTTAGTGATCTTTGGTGCTTTTGAGAGACTGTATGTAATATTTGATGTTTAGATTCACACTATTTTTGGATAGAAAGATTTGGAGGGGAAGGAAGGGAAGGGAAGGGAAGGGAAGGGATACATAGCTAAGATTTAGATAAGACTTGTGAGAAGGGAAGAGAAATGAATTTAAGGGATCTGTATTTCTTCCCCTTTTAATACATCAAATATCCCTATTGTTGAAAGATTTGGAATGAAAATAAAAACTCACTCTTTCCATCCCCTCATATCCCTTTCTCTTACCTCTTTTTTCCTTCTCTTCCTTTCCCTCCACAATTGCTAACCAAATATTTGGGTATTGAGCTGTTGGATTTCTAGAGCATTAAATTGACAATTTTAATCAAGCTTTATATTAACTTTTTCATGATCGTGTAGCTTTTTGTTTTGCCATATCTCATACAATATTCCTTGTCTCTAAGCAAATGTATGTGAATATTGAGCTTGAATTTCATTTGAGGTTACTCACCCTTTAGTGGGTTTCATGTTCTTTGACAATTTGTATAGATAACAAAATAGGAGGGAAGAGGAGAGAAGGGGGGGGGGGGGAGGGAGAAAAAGAGGGAAAAGACGGAGCTCCATTTTCTCACCAAATTTCTTCAAATTGGAAACAAAGATAAATATTTAAGAGGAAAAGGTGGATCTCTCCCTCCCTTTCCTTCCTTAACCTTCTATTCAGATGAGGGAAGTTGTTCCCTTCCCTTCCTTTCTCTCCATTTCCAAATTTTTAAACAAAGTTACATTTCATTTTGGCCATGTTGTTGATATAATTTTTTAACATAATCTCTTTATATATGATTTCTTGTCAAACATTTTAGTGTGACATAGTTACTCAACATCTCTATTGGTATATAATGCGCTTGGGTTTTTATTTTGAATCCGTTGTTTTCAAGATGAAAATATATTTTCTAAAGAGCATGTGCCATTCTTAGCAGCAAATTAAGAATATCGAGCTTTGACTTGGTTTAGGTTTAGGCGTTTAGTTCTTTTTTTGAGATTGACGGAGTGGGGTGAAAATATTAGTAACTGCTTTCTGCTGTATTTGTGGATCCTATATTGCTTCTTCATGCATTGCTCAAAGTCCATCAATAGTCTCATTTATTCTTGTCAAGCGAGGGTGCCTAATTTTGGCAGTATTATACAGGATCTCCAAAAAAAACTTGTTCTTGTTCTAGTCAAGCTTTGTGTTTGTAATAGACAAGGCTTCAATATACTCTCTATTTAGTTTCTCTTTGAGTTGGTTCTAGTTTTGTCTTGATGTTTAGATATGTTGTACCATCATTGATCTAGTTGATTAAGTCAGTAGTAAATGTGTATAATATACTTCCTCTATTCCACAAATATTGCAACAAGGATGAAATTACGCATCCCAAAGCACATTTTATATGGTAAATATCTATAATTATATAAGAATAAAAATTATAGAAGTTGATATTGTGAAAGTATTTTACGAGACGAATCTAACAAGACCCCACATGACTATATTTTACTTTACGTATAAATCATAACATGTGGTCAAACAAGCGTGATGAATAGTGCAAAAGTCCAGTTGTTGCAATATTACTAGAACATAGGAAGTAGATGATTTGCTTGCAACTAGGTTGGAGATTAAGACAATGCAAGCAATAGAAAAGATTTGCAACTCTCAAACCTAATGTATTCGAAAGGTTCTTGAGGTGATGTAAGTTAAGGCAGTCATCTGTGTTGTATTCCCTTTTTCTCCCTTTCATTTTCTTTTTCTTTTTCTAGAACTGGGTGTGTTGCTTTTTTGGTCTAGCAGTACAATAGCAATTATCAATTATCATTGCTGTCAAGCCAACTGATAGTTAACAACCGATGGTTTTGTCTCGACTTTGTCTTCATGTGGAAAATAGTTAGCATGAATGCGATGTCTGTATTTTTTTTTAATTTATTTATGGCATATGAGGATTGAGATTCAAGTTTTTTTGTAAGCTTATTCCTTGTCTCAGTGATCTTCTTGTAGTTTGACTGATATCGGTTTTTATTTATTTTACAGTAGACAAATCTCAGACAGTTAAACAAAAGAACAATATAAATGGCAGAAGGGGTGATAGAAGAAGTTCTAAAGTTCCACTGAAGGCAAAATTTGATCCATTTTCGCTGAAAGTTGGCTTGACAAACTTTAGTCCTACAAGTGGAGGAAGCAATGTTTTTGGTATGAAACTGGTATCTCTATTGTGAGATTGCTATAAATTTTCTGAGGTTTGGATCTTCCATAACCTCCAGCTAAGAAGATTTTTCTGAGGGTGGCATTTTTTTGTGCTTTCTTAATAATTCTCTTCTATAACCCTCTAAAGCTTTGTCTTAGCATGACTCTTCTTAACTTCTTGCATATATCTATTTATAAATGACTCGTATGTAGTGTATTGTTTCTTAGCTTTGATTGTATCCTGTTTGAACAAATTACCCTGCAATAAGTAGAACTTTGTCTGGCACCTTTTTTTTTTTTACCAAATGAGTTGTCATTTTTAGTAGGACATTCTAGTTGCTGGTTGTTCAAAATGGTAGACATCAATTTGGAATTACTCTCAGTTATTACGGTTAATTTTTTGGTCAAGTTCTGGCTGTCTTTAAAGTAAAGCTTTTATACTTGCGAAGCCTTTTTGTTTGTTGCTTGCTATGTATGTGTATTAGCATATTAACTTGGATGCTCCTTTGACATTTGTTTGCAGGAATATATGGTCTCAAGCCAGATAATCATGATGTCTCAAAACTTTTGGATGACATTTCTTTGGATAAACTCCTTGATGGAACCTATAAATGTTCTAATCTTGGAAAAGATAAAGGGAAGAAAGTAGCTAATCTGACAGAGAATATACTGGATTATGTTAAAAAGGCTTGTTCTGTTATTCGGCTTCCAGGGATGCAACAGGCCAAACAAGCAGAAGAGATGGATATCGAGACCAACAAGAAAATTCCTTTGTCATCATCTCCCTCTAACACAAGTTCGTTAAATGGTTCTGATGGTGATGATTGTAGTCTTACTACAGGTTTACCCAAATGTGAAAAGGTAAGTAGCTACTGAAAGCTTTTATTTTAGTTTTTTTGTTTGTGTTACAAATGTTTTAACATGATTTTTACAAGAATCATATTTTTAAGGTTAAAAGTGTAATTAGTTATCCTCCATGGGGGAGAATTTCATTTTTTCCTAGTCCCTTATCTCCAGCAGTAATAGATGAAGCCTAAACATCATGGTAACAATATGTCTTAGTTGTACTTGGCAGTGGTCTCCTTTTTCATCCTTATGCATTAATTACCATGCCCTTTTTTTTTTTTCAGGATCTGGAAGCGTCTGTAAAGGCTGAATCTCCTGCTGACAAAAAGGATTCTCCATCGTATCAACCTAGAAATATTTTGGAAAGGTTGGCACTTCCTCCACCAAAGGACTTGGACTCTTTGTTGCAGGATGCAGTGAAGCCAGTGGTATCCTCAAAGCTTAATGATTCACGTAATGGCAAGACATTATCTCATCGAGTTAGCTTGCCGCCTTTTCCCTGGTCCCATAATTTTAACGGGCACCATAAATCTAATAATGATGCTGTAAGATTATCGAATAAAAGCACATGCCAAGGTAGATGGGCAAGGATAAGGAGCACTGCCAGTTTTATTGGAGGGGGCAATGAAGCTTTTGTGGACTTGGACTCGCTCACTTATGATAGTAGTCTTGTTCCAGCAGGACAATTAATGTACAAACTTCCCGAAATCGAAAGAAGTCCATCCATTCCTGTCAATCAACTGTGCTGTCAGCAGAATTCTTCATCAGCTGCATGCCCAACAGCATGTCTGCCACCCTCTGGTAAGAACCTAGCTCGTTATGTTTTTGGTAGTGGAAATGCCCTTTTGGATTCATCTCTTTCTTTTCTATCTTTTTTAATTAATTTTACACTGTGTTTAGTGTTTGGGATTGATGTGTGTTACGTGTTTGCAGAATCTGGAAGCAATGTGCACTCCAAGATTAGTGGTATGTGGCTATTGATTAAAAGCGTGATTATTTTCACCACTCTTAAGATCTATGCTTCACCTCTTCACCTGTATAAATCCTAGTCAGACCTACAGCATAAACTTATTTGTTTTGATATATTATATGGCTTGTGGTGTGAGCCATGTGTCATGCTTCAAGAAAATATTCAGACCCTTTTCAAATATAATATCAATTTTACAAGTTCTTAGCTATGAGCAAGTATTGTTCTGCCTGTTCAATACCTTTTTTTTAATGGAAACCTGCTCAATACCTTCAAAGAATGTATAAATGATTGGTTACCCAACTTTGGTTTTCCAACATTAAAATTTCTTCCTTTGTGCATCTCTTCTCATCATTGTTTGGTTCTTGTTGGCAGCACTGCATTCTCCCAGAGTATTGGCTGCTGCTCAGACGCTTTGTGACATTGCAAGTGATAGCTCAAATAGGATTTCAAACGGAATGTTGAAATGGTCAAAACAACCATTCCAAAAATCCATGAAAGCTCGCAAGTCAAGATCTAGTGAAAAACCCGAGGAGTTTATGACACCCAAGTCAGAGACATTAGTCAATCATGTAGTCAAGAGCATAGAGTATGGATCTTCTTCAAAAAAGCCCAAAATCTCTGTGGTTGAACGGAGAGAAGAATTTAGTCACATTCATGCAGTTATAGGACTGAGTTCTGTTTCTGCTCCAAGATCAAACAGAACATCCCCAAGCAGATTGTCTAGGGATTCTGTTACAGAAGCTAGAAACAACTTTGTGAAACCACAATTTATGGCTCCCCCACCTCCTCTTCCAAGGGTTTTGGATAGGAGTAACCACAACCCACAGAAGTTGAGAAAAGTTTCGCCAATGGATTGGAACAGGACAAGAAGCTAGCTTGAATGGATCTAGCAGCTTTCATCGGGAAGTTGTTCCTTGTAATACCAAGATCTGTTGTGAAGTTATGACTGCATATGAAATTTAGCTGAACATGTTAGTTTGTATATATTGTTGTTTATGTGTAGCTCAGGATTGATGGTGGGGTCCTCCTTGAAGTGAGGCCCCAAATTCCAGTGTTGTAACATTATAAGCTGAACAGATTTTAGAGGTTCCTTTTTCGGGGGGGTATTCTTTGCCTTGTACAGAGCCATTCCATGAGGCAATTGTAATTTCAGTTCCCTCTTTCCTGTCTGTTGCCATTTTTAATCTATAACTAGTTACCTATGTGCAGAATTGCAAGAATTATCACTGATATATTGAATAACTGAATTGTTGATGTCTGATCTTTCTGTAAATAGGCTTTTTCGGCCACACTGGATAATATTTGAAATTCCCAACCTGTCTAACTTCAACTAAATGGTTAAGCCTTGTATGAGACGGTCTCACCGTGTAACAAAATGGATGTATAAGCTCAAAGTGTTACTGTAAGCGAAATTTTTTTGTTCTTTAAGGGAGGAAACATAGCAGGTGAGCATCATTATTTTGCCTCTCAAAAGGATTTGCTTCCAGCATACTGAGTGTGGTTATCTACTTGTATATAACTACTTGTAAATAAAATTTTGCAAGCATTTTCTCTTTACGAAATTTATTTACACAAGGTAAACTAGTAAAGTGATCACATTTAGTCCTGTCAATTTTCGACCGGACCCGTAAACCCGATCCGAATCCGACCCGTTTTAATGGGTCATGAACAAAGTTTTTTGACCCGTAACCCGATTTAACCTGAACCCGTTTAACCTGAACCCGTTTAACCCGTAAATTTGTGGGTCAAACCCGACTTGTCGACCCGATTTTATTATTATTATTTTATTATTATTATTGTTATTATTGTTATTATTATTATTATTATTATTTTTTAATTAATAAATACACTTATTTGAAAATTAATATTAGTTTATTGATTAAGTTTGATTGTTTTGTCTACCATTGGACATTCATTTTATCTCTCTCATTTATCTATCTCATATAACTCTTGCTCAAATCCACACCAATCACCTCTACATCAATTATCGACCCACACTAATTGCATCCGTACAACCCACATCAACGTCACACCACCGATTGATATGTGTACAGATATTATGTCAAGAGATATTATATAGTCCACATATATTATTATGTTGATCTTCCTTAAATTTTGGGATGCTTAAAAGTTTTATTTTAAAGTTTATTATCATTTTTTATTAGTTAGGATTTGATGTGTTTTGCTGAAATGGTGACGATTTATATTATGTACTCAGAATGTAATAGTTAAAAATAATATGGTGAAAAATTTTCGATTAAAAAATTAGAAAACAATAGCAAAGTAAGCTTGAAAAATCAGAAATTTTTAAAATAAGCAAAAAAAAAAAATTGTTATAAATCCGTTGGGTTGACCTGAACCCGAAACTTTGGGTTAGGATTGAGCATTTCTCGACCCGTGACCCGAACGACCCGATTGACAAGTCTAATCACATTGAACCAATCCGTCATAAAACTACGGTTCGGACACGACATTGAAACTCGCCTATTCTGAAGATAAACAAGCGTCAGTAGCTAGGAATCGGGAGATCTTTTTGCAATAACATTTGTTTAGGAGGATGACCAGGTTTTGGGGGGAAGGGCTGAAGGGAGCTCCATACAGAGGCAGTAGAAGTCTAAATCTAAGAGCGTAATCGAAAACAGTTTTGAGTGATCACTTGAGACTTGTTTAGTTAAACTAGCTCATATGCACACTCTTATAACTAGTAAGTATTAAAGATGCCAGAGTCTAGCTCGGTTAGAATCACAGCTCAAGAAATGAGGAGAATTAAGGAAAATATAGATTTCATATGCAAGTAAAAAAGCAACTTTCCATGTATTTTACTTAGCCGAAGAAGCTTCAGCTATCGCGGTCAGTTAAACAGGTTAGCGATTGATTAGTTTTACAATCCCACTTTGTTAAGACAACAGGGGAATCAGCCCTCGTCTTGGCAGGAAAAACCAGAGGGGCACTCAAGAACAACAATTAGAAAAGAAACATTTGTTTTTTCTTAACTAAACATCTGATCCAGCAACAAAACCAAGGTCATCGCGAACCCAGGATTGAATCCCGGATATACAACCAAGTGAAAAACCTCGAGACCAAAGGATGCATGTCCATTCGCTGCCTCCTTCCTCTTGATCTCCGCTACAACTTTTTTCGAGGATTTGTCGATCATCTTACACGATCTTTGCGCGTAAGAGCCTTCTATTACATATATAGGATTATTAGTTGTTGCCCCTAGGAAAACATGCGCAAGTACATTGGAATTTGCTAGTAGTAAGCTAACATTCTTCCTCACGTAACAAATAGGCTGCTTTTTTTGGAATGTTTTGGTATTGTGATGATCACTTGCATCACCCTTGTATACTAGCCAATCGTCCACTAGTCGTATCGTCTGTTCATCAAAGAAAATTTTAGATTAGAATGCGTATTAGTATAAATTATGAAAAAATAAAAAAATCTAGGAGTTTATCAAAACAATTTTAAAACTTGTTCTCTTTGATACGTAGAATATGTTCTTTCTTATCCACTTTTAGAGAGCCTATTATAGACGAGTAGTCATCCTATGGACTGGAAACCAATTACTCAAAGCCTCAAAGGACTTATTCTTTCCAACTATATCAAATGCGTTACGTAGTACAATAAGGGTAAATAATAATCTTATGTACAAGTTTTCACACCGTCCTAAGATAAAGCTATATTTACTTTATAAGTGTTGTAATGGGATAGCCGTAATCGGTAAATAATTTAGACAAGATTTAATCTCAGCTAAACTAGTTAGCATCTATTAATAGACGAGATTTGATTCCAAATAAGGTACACTAAGGGATTAAGATCGAGCACGTAAATTTCAACCGCGACATACTCAAATTCTAACATGTGCTCTGTTGAACAAGTTGCTTGAGTTGCTTCTTTTGAATGATCATGTTACAAAGTCGGCAACAAAGTCATAGCCATTACTTGTAAGCATGAGGTTGAACAGTGATAAATGTTTAGTGGCCCCCCAAAATAATGCTTCTTTTGGTGTTTGGTGGTAGGCGTTAGCCGTTAGGGTAAATAAATAAAAAAAATTCTTGGTAAGAAGAAAAAAAAAAAAGTTTTCGACCGAACATACAATTATTTTACCCCTTTTGTAACAAGCAAATTCGGCCACATTTTCATATTACAATACTTGCAACCGTTTAAGTAACACATTTATTATTCCCTCAAAAAATAAAAAATAAAATAAAAAAAAGTAACACATTTACTAATCCACAATTTTAACTGTAAATATATCAAATATCCTGAAACAATAAGTTTATTAAAGAAGGAATAAATCCTATAAAATATCTACGTTACATACAATTATGTAAACTATACTTGACTAGGAAAGATGATAATGTAAATCCATTAAAACTCTTTCAAAGTCCTAATACAACCCACCCTAGAACCACTATAAGAATTCGTGTTTTTATCGACTGTCAACAACCTCACCACTATCCATATTCTCTTTCCTACACTACATCCACACAAAAAGAAAATAACCATATAATAATAATAATAATAATAATAATATAACGAATAATTATTTTGAAACGAAGGGAGTATAATAAATTACCTTATGACGACGGGTAGTGAAAATAGATGTTCCAGAAGCATCCATAAGAACAATCTCACCAGGTCTCCCACGGTAATTATCAACACGGTAAATTAAATTACCAGTACAATCAATAACGGTAAAACCACTACAACTCATCAAAAGTGACTTCCTCCAAACAGTTAAAAACGTACATGTAGTTGATGATGCACCACCACTTTTATCGTTATCGGCCTTGTAAATGTATTCCTTGCAATCTTCTAAACACCGTTTTTCATCGGTAACTCTTGTACAAGATTTAGGTTTAAGAAATAGAACCATAATTTTTTTTTTGGTTTTTTGGGTTGTGAAAATAAATGAATTTAGTTGGATTATTGGTGAAGTTTGAACTGGGAAGAAGGAAGGAGAAAGGAGATATTTATAGAAGAAGGGAAGGAGTGAGTGAGAAATGAAGCACAAAGCTAGTTGTAATAGTTGGGTGGGTGCCGACCATTCAACCATGATGCCACGTGTTTACAGATGGATATTTAATAGGCGCGTTGGTACTTGTTATGACTTTTTTTTTTTTTTTTTTTTATTGACTGATTTTAATGTAACAGTTTCGAGATATATACGTTTGTAGAGTAATTCTTTTTACTTCAACCCTCCTTGCGATATTAACGTGTTTTTTAAAAGGTGTTTTTATTTGAAATACTTAATTTTACAAAGTAATTTATTCGAGTATAACATACTACACGATCGAAGTAGTAGAAGAATTTTATATGGATTACGGCCGGTGTGATTTGATTTTTTCTGGATTGGTAACATTCTTGTTGTAAATGTATTTCAGGTAATTATTATATATACTAAGGTCGAGTTTTTGTCAACTTGAAACCACATCTACAACTTTCATGCATGCTTATTCGGTTCAATATTTCAAGTATTCAGTTCGATCAGTCCCATCTTTGCTTAAACACGGTACTTACAAAAAAAAACACAATTTACATATGTTAATTTGATTAGGGTCTCCTATACAACTTGCATATAATGACATGAAAAAGGGTCTATAATAATTTTGTACTTCCTCCGTCTCATAATACTTAACACAGTTTCTATATTCGTCCGTTTCACAATACTTGACACATTACTAAATATGGAATGAGACCACTAATAAAAAAAATATTTTCCCATATTTTCTCTTTTCTCACCAACCCTACTCCCACCCCACTTGTTGTTTTCTTACAATATAAAAATACAAAAGAAAATCTTTTATATAATAAACAAATGTTTTATATGGACCCACTCTTGTAGTTTTATTAAAGTACGTGTCCATTCCAACGTTCCAAATATTATGGGACAGAGGGAGTACTACAATGCATGACTACCAATAAAAAGATACAATTGTATTTACAAGTTGCAATTTGCATGTTTGTGATTTCGACAAACTATATAAACCTGTAGTTCAGGTCAATTATATGCACTTTCGACAAACGTAAATTAATAATTTGATTTGGTTACTTACATTTTTTGTTTGAATTTTCGGGTTCAAGTTTAATTTTCTGGATTTTTTACATGTCACTATTTATTGCTATAAATAGAGAATACCTTTTTTTCAATGAAAAAAAAATCCACATGATTAATCCTTTTTTGAGCGGATGAAAAAGTAGCGCGTATGTCATTTATTGTTGGATTAGCTGTTGTAAATGTACTTTGTACTTCAGAGTCAAGTGCAATTGTGCAAGTGGTGCAACTATGCCAAAAAAAAAAAAAAAAAAAAAATCACCAAAAATAAAATTATTAAAAATAAATAAATAATTGTTAGAAGACAAGTCTAATAAGTGAATGCCAATTATTGATTTGATTACACAATGCTCATATAGGTCCAAACACTTGTGAACTCATATGGCTCTATGTGAGTAATTATTGTATTATTAGTGTAACTCATGGCTATAAATACAATGCCATAGAAGTAAGAATACAATGATAACACTACAACAATTTCACCTATCTTCTTTCACTCTTTTACTCCTTTTATTAATCAAAACTTTTCTATCGGTAAATTCTTTAACACGTTATCAGCACCAGTTTTCAGTCAGGTATATTTATACCTACTTCTAAAAATTTATAACAAATAATACTATCTACTTCTAAATGTTTCGAGGAGTATGCTCTATAGTTGCCCATATTTGGGATCCTCTATAACAGAAACTCAAACATTTACTATATATACCTCAAAAACAACGGTGAAAGTTCTCTTACTTGTGAATTTACTACTATCATCTTTTGTTTATTCATGTTGATGTTTCTTTGTTTGATCCATGTTGATATTACATATTCATTTTACGTAAATTTTTATCTTAGTTATTATAATTGCTAAGTAGTAGCTTTGCATGCATATTATTATTAACTAGATTAACAAAAAGATGCAGCCTTTTATACTTATTATTTTTCTTACTTTTACATACTTTTTGTGTTTCTTTCCGTTTTCGAACCCATGATCTTTTATAGATATTAGGGCTCTCGGACCACTATGGCTTGCATTCCCAGTGTGATAACCTTTTACAATTATAAATATATATATATGGACCATAATTTTATGCCAGTACGTTAGACTATTATATGATATTTTTACAGTTGTACAGAACAGTAACGGATAAACCTACCTCTATAAAAGACGGATTTTCCCCCCAATTTCACCACAAATCCCTTATCCCTTCCCACTTTTTATCCAAAAATCACCTAAAAAAAAATTCACCCCCTTCTTCTCCGATATGTTCCCCGACGACGGCAACCAAAACACCCAAAACACCCACAACTTCACTTTTGAGGAAGATTTAATGAAGATAAAACAATATTTCCTTCTAATTACGGCGCTTGTAATTTTATTAGTAGCAATATTAATTTTTGTCATTATGTATAAATAAAACTCACTTATTTGTCGTTTTAGTATATTAAAAGCTTGTTTTTGTTTTATTATGTATGTTTGTTGTTATTAATTATCATTGTATAATATTATCGTTATCATTATAATTATTGTTACTACTGTCATTGTTGTCGTTTTGCTGTTTTTTTTTTGCAACTAACATGATTAATTTTTGTCTAATCATATAATTACTCACAATAATAAACCAAGGGGGAGAAAAGACTATATTATTTATGGTTTATTATTATTAAATTTAATTATCACGTGTCTTATTAACTTAATTATAAATATGGAAGAACTAAACATGTGAGTTGTACATATAATTTGTTATTATAAACTAATTATCACGAAATTTGTTGTAGCTAAAATGGAAGACCTTATGAAAAGACAGTTCAACATCTTAGATTTATCTGGAAAGAAATTTCTGGAATGGAAAGTGGACGCAATGATGAATTTGAAAGCTCAAGGCTTGGAGCACACTGTTAAAGAAAATAAAAGTCCCTCTGGTCAAACGACTGATACTACCACTTCTGCAATGACTGTTGCAAAACCTGTTACTGAACAAGATAAGGCAAAAGCCTTAGTGTTGTTAAGGCATCATTTACATGAAGGCCTTAAAACTGAGTACATGATGGTTGAAGATCCCAAAGAATTATGGGATTGCCTTAATGAAAGATTTGGACACCACAAAAGGGTGCTCCTTCCTAAGGCATTATTTGACTGGAAAAATTTACGGTTCCAGGATTTCAAATCTGTAATTGATTATAATTCAACCATACATGAGATAGTGTCTGTATTGAGATACTGTGATCATCCAGTTTCGGATGAACAGATGATTGAAAAAACACTCACTACCTTTCATGCAAGTAACATACTGTTGGAAGAACAGTATCGTGAAAGAGGTTTTAAAAAGTTCAACGAATTAATGAGTGTATTGCTTGTTGCGGAACAAAATAGTGAACTTTTGTTGAAAAATCATAACCTGAGACCAACTGGGTCTTTGGCCACTCATCATGAGGCAAATGCAACAAATTCCTATCCACCCGAGTCAAATGCTACAAGAAGAGGTGGACGTGGAAATTACAATGGCCGTGGAAATTATCGCGGACGAGGCCGAGGACGTGGTAGAAACAATTTTCAAAGAAACAGTAATTTCAAAAATTTTGAAAAACAGAAGGGACAGTCATCTGGAAGCCACAAACAAACTCTTTCAAAAGGAAAAGACACATGTTACAGATGTGGCATGACAGGACATTGGGGACGTACTTGTCGTACGACCAAACATTTGGTAGACCTTTACCAGGATTCTGTAAAAGGCAAAGAGAAAAATGCAGAAGCAAATTATGTTAATGAAGAAAATGCTCCATGTCCTACCCTTGATGTGTCCGATTTCTTCATGGACAATGCTGAAACTGGGAATGATTTCATTCTTGGAGAAAACAACAATGCTTAGGTTCCCCATCTACTAATGTAACATATGCTATGTTTTAATGTATTTTCTTAGTTCCCTGTATTTTAAATTTCTAGTCATGTACTTTAAATCTTTATCATCAATAAAAGTTTGTATGATATTATTCTAAACTAATCTTAAATTTATTTTATGAAGATATGGATCTACCTGAAGTTAGTTCCGAATATCAATGCCTTTTGGACAGTGGAACAACACATACTATCTTAAAAGATAGAAAATATTTTTCACAACTAAAGTTTTTTCAAGCAAATGTAAACACCATTTCCGGGTCAGCTAAATTAATTGAAGGATCTGGAAAGGCTTGTATAATGCTTCCAAATGGAACGAAATTAATAATCAATAATGCTTTATATTCGAGTAAATCTCGAAGAAATCTCATAAGCTTTAAAGATGTACGCCAAAATGGCTATCATCTAGAAACAATGACGACAGATCAAAAAGAGTATATATGCCTCACGGCAGAAAAACATGGCAAGAAACATATATATGAGAAATTGCCAGCATACTCTTCGGGGTTATACCATATAAACATACGACCCGTGGAAATCAATATGATATCTAACCAGAAGTTAGATGACAAACATTTGATTATTTTATGGCATGATCGTTTGGGACATCCAGCAACTGGGATGATGCAAAGAATAATAGCACATTCAGTTGGACATTCAATAAGAAATGTCAAAATTCCCCGATCAGATGAATTAACATGCTCTGCATGTTCACTTGGCAAATTAATAATAAGGCCATCTATGAACAAAATTGCTCTTGAATCTCCAAAATTCTTGGAAAGAATTCAGGGAGATATATGTGGGCCAATTAATCCAGCATGTGGACCATTTCGATATTTCATGGTTTTAATTGATGCCTCTACACGATGGTCACATGTTAGTCTACTTTCAAGTAGAAATGTTGCCTTAGCAAAATTACTTGCCCAAATCATCAAATTAAGAGCACAATTCCCAGATCATACAATAAAGAAAATAAGACTTGACAATGCTGGGGAATTTACATCCCAAACATTTAATGATTATTGTATGTCAATTGGAATTGATGTTGAACACCCAGTAGCTCA